ATTCCTGTGGTCACGGGCTGAGGAATGTCATTGATTTGGAGCACATAGGCACTTGTGTTGGTGTCACCTTTGGGTTCCCACCAAATGCCCATAGTTCTCTGAGGTTGTCCATGGTTGTGATTCTCTGTGCATATCTTTTGTAAGAATGACATTCTTGTGGCGTGGCTAAGACATTGCTTTTAAAAAGCAAGAGCTCTGGGCTTTGAGTTGGTGGAGCTGGTCTCTGATAGGGAAGTAAGTGACCTGCTTGTAAGGACAGGAGGGTTAGCGTGTCTCACAGTGTGCTGGGCCACGCTGCTCCTTAGAACTCAGCAGGGGGTCATTTGTAACCCTGAGACTGGCTTTGAGGGACAAGGACCACTTAGTATTATAACAGAACTCCAGTCGAAAGCTTTAATCACATATGTTACACTGACAAAAGTGAGGACTTGTTTAAAGTACACATCTCTGGGAATCCTCTCTTGCAGAAACAAATGAAGTAATTTGAGGAACAGGCTCCGTCTATGTTAAACACAAAGGGGAAGAGATAATTAATTAACAGGGAGGGGCAGGATTGATCTTGGTGCTTGACGCCTTGAGTTGTGGTTTGACACATCTGTGACAGCCCTTGGTACTCGTGCTGGGAATGCTCTTCAGCACATGTCCTCTCCACACGATGCAGTGGATGAATGAGACTAGCAGGCATCATAGCAGACATGAATGTTCCGTGGTTCTGAGGTACAGCTAGTTTGTACAGCACCTGAGTGAGAACTAGTAAAGGGACCCCCTTCTGGAAGCAGCTCCTGCTCAGCCTGGCAAGCAACCAGAGACTGATTTCCTTCGTTGCCCTGCTCTGCTTTCATTAGAGGGGCTGCCTTTGTGCATGCTGCACACCCGTGCCTGCCAGCCTGGTTTGCTAGTTCACCAGGGGTTCTGAGGCTGAGGCTGGGGCTTTTGGCTGGAGAATCACTCCTTCACTGGAGCTGACCTGGGGGCCAGATAGATCTGTGTCTGAATCCTGGCTCTGTCAGCTGGCTTCATCCCCTCATGTGTGAAGTGGGTGTGGTCAGGACCCGCCTCACCAGGCTGCTGCAGGAATCAATGAGATAATGCAGGAAAAAAGCAGAGCTCAGCGCCTGTCATGCAGGGTGTGCTCAGGGCAAGGCAGTGTTGGGAGAAGGTGCCTGCCCTGGAGGAGTTCCCAGGCAAGCTGTTTTAGGATGTAGGTTTTATTGTTACTTGGGTATGGTGAGGCCAAGAGCGGGACACAGTTTGCCACTGAAAAGGCAGTTGTTACTCATTCCCGAGAGGAGGAGAATGACTGCCACGCAGGGCCAAATGGGGAAGCACCAGGGTCAGTTTGGGGGCAGGAGTGGGAGGACATGTGGACAGAAGCCTTTATTGAGGTTTCAGAGGGAAGGGATGGGCAAGGCAGGGCAGGCAGGCTTAGGAATGGCTAGTTTGAATAGTTCCAGTGGGCCCTGGGATAGAGGGGCTGTCTTGAGTTGTGTGGTACCTGGTACCGGGGTGATTTCGTCAGGAGAATATTGGCCTGGATGTAAAAGCTAGTAAAGGATGTGGTTAGGTGTATGGGCTTGGATTGGCTGGTTTGAGGAGAGGATGGGACCCGAGCCAGGGCTTGAAGGATGGCAGAGGGAAGGGCTCCCCAGGCCCGGGCCCTGGAGCATGAGCTGATGGAAAGTAAGCAAGGAGTGGTGGGGCAAGAGGAAGTGGGGTGTGGTGAGGGGACCACCCTAAAGGGCTGTTAGAGCCTGTGCATCAAAGGCCTTGGGTGCTGTGATGAGAGATCTGGAATTAGTCCTGTAAAAGTGTGCCCATGTGTGCGTGTCAGAGCATGTGTGAGTGTGAGTGTATATGTGAGTGTGTGTGCATGTGCGTGTGTGGCACTGGAATGTTCTAAGCAGGTGAGTGACCTGAACTGAGTTCTGTTTTCAGCAGGTGCATGCGCTGGTGGGTGTGGGTCGGGAGTGGTGGGTGGTCCTCGGCCTTGCCAGCATGTCTGCCTCACTGAGCAGCTCTGCAGAAACACAGACCCCAGGCTCTTCCCCAGACCAGTCACATAAGAATCTCTGGAGGAAGGGCCTGGATGTTACATTTTTGCAAGTTCCCTGGGCAATTGTAATACCTGGTTGAGAACCACTGCCCAGGGCAGGAGACCAATGAGGAGGCTGATGATGATTTAAAAGGGTTTTTAAAGCTGCAGATTTCAACCCATCAATGGGTTGTGAAATCACTTGAAGGAATTGGGACCAGCATTTTTACAACAAATGTGGTAGGATAAAACATAATCAGAATGTATCACATGTATTAAGTGCTATTTCACAAAATCTTTCAATTAGTTGTACATATATACATACATACATATACACACACAAATGTGTGTGCTGGGTGATGGTATTTAATGTATTTCCTATGGTGGGTCTTGGTCAAAAACCTAGAAGGGAGAAGGTAGCATCATTCCCACCCTGAGGCTTTGGTGCACACTCAGATACTCTGTGCTGTCATGCACCTCCCCCTCTGGAGAGCGGGCCACACCTTGCTCCCCTCTATGTCCCTCTGCCTCAACCTGGAGCAACCATGTGGGAGGATAAGAGCCACGGAAGCTAAGAGGAGGTGAAGTTTGGTGGCCAGCCAGAGACATCTCATCACTTTCTTCAATTAGGTCTGCCCGAAAGAAGCCACAGGCCTGAGGACTGAGCACCCCAAGAGTCTTTCTTGAGAAGCTCCCCAGGGCTTGACACTGGCAGTATCACCAGGGAATCATTGGGAGGTACTTCTTACTTGCATTCCAGGGGACATCGTAAGAGTCAGATACCAGGCCAGGCAGTGTATTAGTTTCCTTTTGCTGCTCTAATGAATTACCACAAATTTAGTAGCTTAAAACAACACAGATGTGTTCTCTTCCTGTTCTGGAGGTCAAAGTCCAAACTGGGTTTTGTCTAAAATCAAGGTGTTGGCAGGATTGCACTCCCTCTGGTGGCTCTTTGGAAGAATCCATTTCCTTGCCTCTTCTAGCTTGCAGAGTTGCCTATATTCCTTGGCTTGTGGCCCCTCCCTTCATCTTCAAAGCCAGCAATGTCGCATCTTCAGATCTCTATCTTTGACTCTGACCTTCCTGCCTCCCTCTTGTAAGAGCCCTCTGATTATATTGTGATTATAATAACCCAGATAATCTGGGATTATCTCCCTCAAGATCTTTAACTAAACCACATTTGAAAAGTGCTCTTTGAATGCAAAATAATCTATTCACAATTTCCCAGACACAGGACTAAGAAGTGGAGCTCTTTGGAAGACCATTATTTTGCCTGCTACAAGACCTGTATGGTGCCATTTTTTCTTTCTGATGTCTGTATATCCATTAGACTGTTAACTTTTTAAGGATGAGAATTTTATAAGGTTCGTTTCCTTGGCCTGTATCATATTGCTTAACACAGCAGCAGCAGCTGTTGGCAAATTAGTTTTTGAGCAGATACATCCTGACCTCTTCACCTCATGGGTAATATCACTGAAACTGAGAGAGGTGAGTGGCTTGTTCAAGTTCAAGCAGATCTAGTGGCAGACCTGGATTCAGAACCCAAGTCATCTGAGTCTTTCCACTTTTCCACCAAAATAGACAATGGCCTAAACTCTCAGTGCACAGTACAATCTATCCTATTCCCCTGGGATGACATTGATGTTTCTCCTAACACTGCTGGCTGGGGTTGTTTAGAAGGACATCATCTATTCATGTGGAGCATCAGAAAGAGTACAGCCTATGGAGCTTGTTTAAATTATGGAGACTTGGGTTTAAATCCTGCTTCCACTTTGTAACAATTAGCTATTGCTGCATAACAAAAAATAACAGTGGCTTACAACAACCATAATTTTTACATTCTCATTTGTCTATGGGTTAGTAAAGGGTTCTGTTGATCTAGGCCTGACTCGGCCGATCTTAGCTGAGTTTGTGCATATGTCTGTGGTCAAGTAGGCCAGCTAGGGGGCTGGCTGGTCTAGGATGACCTGAGCTGGGACAAATCAGTTTTGTTCCATGTAGTTTCTTTTCTTCCAGTGGGTAAGTCTGTGTTTGTTGTCATGGCAGTGACACGGTTCTGAGAGAAAAAGTACACAAACTCAGAACTGGCACATTACCACTTCTGCTGCGTCTTCTTGGCCAAAGCAAGTGGGAGACTGGATTCAAGTGGTACAGAAACGCCCCCACTTCTTTATGGGAGGATCTGCAAAGTCATTCTGTTACATGAAGGGGTTGAAAATCAGGACCAATGGCATTGTTAGTCTACCCTATGACTTGACCCCATGACAGGGCAATTTTCTTAATTAAACTAATCCCTGGTTTCCTCATCAGAAAAATGGGGAGTAGTGATAATACTTAGCACATTATGGTGGGGATTAAATTAGATAAAACTTGCAAAACATTTAACAGTGCCTGACACACTGTTCACTAATGATAGCAGTCACAGTGCTCAATAAGATCAGCGGTTACTACTGTTACTGTTATTATTATTATTGCATAACAATGGCTTGTATTATTATAATTATCACCAGCATGGGCAGAAAACCAAGGTCCTGGTAAGAGAAAACAGATGCTGGCATGATAGGCCTCACTTTGCTGGGAAATGGAGGAGGCCAAAGCATTGCTGTGTTTCAGGGTTTTGAGCACCCGTTACTCTTTTCATCCATTTCATAAGGAGGTGATTGTTGTTAAATAAAGATAAATAGGCAAATAGCATTCAGGGACAGCAGGGGATGTGAATTCAGGGGACCTGGATCCAAGTACTAGTTCTAATCCTCTTAGTTGTGAGAATTTGGATAAATTAGTTTACCTCTCCAAATCTCAATTGCTTTATCTGTAAGATGGAGATAACAGTGTCCACTTCACAAGTCTGTTATGTGAATTGACTCAACTGATTCAAGTAAAAAGATCTTTGGAAGCAGGAAAACAGTAGGCAAGTGTTAGTTATTATAATCAGTTCTTTCCTGTTTGTCATTTGTATCTGTCTCAGATCTCGGGCTGTCTCAGGATGATGGAGCTTAAGGAGATGATGGAACTTTCATGGCTCTCTGGTTATCTGTGAGTAGCAAATATATTTTTACTTGTGATTTTTCCAGCAGTTGTCCAAGCTTAAGAGTTTCATAAAAAGGGACAAATTCCAAATGTTCAGCCTTGTAAAATCAAAAGGAATGACTCACAGATCATTAGCATCCCTGGAACATAGTGGCTTTTGTTTTATTGCTATTAAGCAGGATTTAGCTCTATTTTATTAAGGCAATTCTTACACTCATGTGAGAGGTTAATGCATTTCACACATAATCCGCTGCCTACCTCCCTAAATGCTGAACCCATTAAAGCCAAGCCAGGCAGGTGAAGATTTCAAGATAGAGTGACAAACTGTGAGTGATGTACAATGAGTGACTGAAAGTTTCTGAGTTTTTTTTTTTCCCCTCTTCAAAATTTAAATTTTGTTCTCAAGCAGAAAAATAACAGGGCCATCCTGGCGAAAATACTTGGGAGCATATTGCAGCAGCAGGTAAGCTCTGCTAGACATTGACGTCTAGGTGATAAAGCTGGTGGTACTGAGAGAGCATCTTTTCACCAGTTCCCAGCCCCCTTGCCAGTTAGGTCTCCTTTTATTATTTCTCTCCATCTGGGACCTGGAAGGTAGAATCTGCCGATAATACTGCATTTGTTAAGCAACAGTGGATTTCCCCTTCCACAGTACTCTCGTCATCAGAGACGAAGCTGGTCAGAGTTTCCAGCAGTAGCAGGTCACAATGATTACATGAATATCTGAAGCCTGGAGGAGGAGGCAGGAGCCAGATCATGAAAGATTTTCTAAGTTGTTTTAGTGAGTTTAACCTTTATCCTTTAGGACAAGGGAAGAGGGCAAGTTTCATTTTGTTTTTTTAGATCAACACTACTGAGGTATATTACACACAGTAAAATGCACCCATTCATCCTTGTAAGTGTACAGTTTGATGAATTTTAACAAATACATTCACTCAAGCAGGCACCACCACGGTCAAGACACAGAACATGTCATTACCCTCTGTGAGTTCTTCCACGTCCTTTTACATTCAACCACCATTCCCACTCCTGCTCAGGCAACCACTGATCTGGTTTCTGTCACTATATACATTCATTTAGCTTAGTCACTTTATATAGATCCATTTAGCTGATTTTAGAACTTTGCATGTTTTGGATTCATGGTGTGTATAGCAGTACTTCACTCCTTTTCATTGCTGAATAAGTAGCCCGTTGTATCAGTTTCCACCATTTATTTATTTGTTCGCCTACTGATGCACATTTGGGTTATTTTCAAGGTTCTAGTTATACAGAGAAAGCTGCTATGAACATTAATGTGTGAATCTTTGTGTGGACACATGTTTTCATTTCTTTTGGGTAATTAACTGGGAGTAGAATTGATGGGTCAGATGCTAAGTGTATGTTTAACTTCTACCAACCTGTTTCCAAAGCAGTAACATTTTTCATTCTTACCAGTAATGTATGAGAATTCCAGGAGGCTCTACATCTTTTAAATTCTAGCCATTCTGATGGGTTTGTAGAGGTGTTCAATGTGTGTTTCCCTAAGGACTAAGGATAGTGACATCTCTTCATGTGCTTATTGAGAGCAGGATTTTAAACAGTGGAATCATAGGACCAAATCTGTATTTTAGGTTCTTGAACCAAGATGCCAACTTGGTTCCTGAATTTGACTTCTTATCATTCCTGCTGAAGTGCTGCAACTAAAGTAACAAGGAAATTCTACATAATATCTGAAAACGACAAAGAGATCTTAGCCACTTATCTGAAACCTCGGAGAGTTTTAGAAAAAAAAAAAAGGAAGAGGAGAGTGGAGAAAGAGGCAAGCACTGACTGCTTGCTCTGCTATGCATTGGTTGGTAGAGTGAGTGAAGAAATTCCACTCTGCCCAGCCCCTTAACTCTTCTTGGATCCAAGTGGTACCGTTGGAAATAAAGAAGACAAAAATTTCTAGGTCAGAAACTTCTAGCAGAAGTGGAAGAAGCAGGGCTCAGTCCTTCTCCAGCCACCCTCAAGATGGAAAAGAAGAAGAAACTTCCAGTTGTACCCTCATATCCTCCTCCTCTTCTTTCATAGCAATAGAACTTGAAGCTGGTCAAGTGGCCACCCAGAATAAAAATTACATTTCCTAGCCTCTCTTGCATCAACATATGGTCATATGATTGAGTTCTAGCCACTGGAATGTAAGCAGAAATGCTGAGGTTAATTTCCAGGAAGTGTTCTTGAAGGGAAGTTGTGTGATTTTTCTCCACCTTCCTACTGCTGGCTGGATTATTGATTGGATGGCTAGAGTTGAAGCATCGATTTTGGACCATGTGCTGAGGAAGATAGAGCAGTAAGATTGAATAAGCTAGAACCCCTGGCACTGTGGATCATATCAAACCTAAACGAACAACTTTGGGATTTCTTTTGACTATGAGAGAAATAAACATACCTTGTTTAAACCACTGGTTATTTTCAATTTTCTTTCACTTGTAGCTGAAGCTAATTTTAATTTATAAATTCTGATTGCTGACTGCCCCCAGTCATTTTTGGGGGAAGCTATCTTGACTTCTTAATCACCAGGGATTATCCAAAGTGAACCAACTATAAACATCATCAACAAGTATGAGAAAATGGTGAAAAGCTGCTGGTTTTGTAAAAAGACTTAGTTTTCAAAGAGAGGGACTGAGGAACCAATCTGAACATTTAGCACAAACTACACCCAGCAAAAGAAATACTTTTGGAAAGTAGGGAAGCCTTCTTAGTTGTATTTTTAGCGAGGGTCGACATGCTCTTATGTTGATTTAAAAAGATCAGTCTGAAAACAATAAAGAGTTCTTAGGAAAGGTATGATTTCCATTCCTTTCCACCCTATGAAGGCTGTGCATTGCTGAGTGCAAACTTCAGAAACCAACCTGATTAATTAGAAACTAGCTTGAGAAATTCTCCCGAAACTCAGATGAAGATTATGAGGGGATGAAATAGAATAGAAAAAGGGAAAGAACCTTAGAATGAATGGGGAAACAAGCAAAAATAGGCACAGGGGGCCAGATACAGGAAATTTGCTTTCCATTTAATGGAAGTTCCAAGTGCAGAATGCTTCATAGACACAAAACTATAATTGAGGAAATACTAGAAGAAAATGTCCTTGAAATAAAAATATCTGCCAAAGGTTGAGAAGAAACATTGAAGGAAGTTCAAAATTTAAGAGGTTATCTTAAAAGTATCAGAAAAACCAAGAGGATCAGATTGTTGTCTGATTTATCTTCAAATATAATGGGAAATATTTTTTTTTTGAGGACATTTCATATTTATTGATCAAATGGTTGTTTACAACAATAAAATTCTGTATAGGGGACTCAATGCACAATCATTAATCAACCCCAAGCCTAATTCTCAACAGTCTCCAATCTTCTGAAGCATAACGAACAAGTTCGTACATGGTGAACAAATTCTTACATAGTGAATAAGTTCTTACATGGTGAACAGTGCAAGGGCAGTCATCACAGAAACTTTTGGTTTTGATCACGCATTATGAACTATAAATAGTCAGGTCAAATATGAATATTCATTTGATTTTTATACTTGATTTATATGTGAATCCCACATTTCTCCCTTATTATTATTATTATTATTTTTTTTTTAA